GCATTCCTTAATCATGTGTATTTTTTTTTTTTTTGAAGAAATGCTAATTGTATTAAAAGAAGAAAAACCTAATACAATCTAGAAAGCAAAAGCAAACCCTTTAAAACTACCATAATGGCTATGCGATGTTAAGAGAGTTGCTATTTGCATGTTTTACATTCTTGCAACTTGTATTATTTTGATGATTTCAAATATTTTTGTTTTATGTATAGATATCTCCTAACACTTTTTGGAAGATTTGTTTTTGCTCTAGTGTGTACTAACATTTCAGGAAAATCAACTCCAAACTATGAAGACTTCAAATCAAATTCAGCATCGAATCATTTGTAAATTAAAAGCTTTAAAAATGTTTTTGAATTGAGAGGGAGTGATTGTAATTGAGTGAATATTCACAACACACACATATGGGGGAATAATTTTTGTGAACTGATCGTACGGGACGAACATAGTTTGTACGGGATGATCATGTCAATTAACCTATCGAAAGAGCAATGGATCGAACAGTCAGTGAGAAAATTTTTCTAAGTCCTAATCGTCCGAATGAATTTAATATTCTTCCCGGGACTAACTCCTCTGGATTCTCACATTGCACTATTCACCCAGATGAAATGCATGGTTCGTCTCTGGATGAAACTCTCTGTTTAAAATCATACAGGACGAAATTACCCTTCGTCTCTGGATGAAACTCTCTGTTTAAAATCGTGCAGGGTGAAATTATCCTTTGTCCCTAGACGAAACTCTTTATTTAAAATCATCGAGGATGAAACTTGTTAGTCCCAGGACGAACCGAATTGACTTACCTCAGTTGGTTACGTCCTGCAGGGATTTGGAAACCGACCTATGAAATAATTGTTTCATACCGGACGAACCTAGTTCGTACGGGATGATAATCATGTACGAACATAGTTCGTACCAATATACATTAGGATCATTTTCGACACTTTAAGTAAAATCGTCCGGGACGATCCACTGCGTACAAAATTGAAAATTTGCAGTTTTTGGGCAGTTTTTTTTGTCTTTCATATATATAGTCCAAATTAAACTGCCACCAAATCTTTTTGGTCATTGATCTTCATGCCTATTGAAAGAAGACTCACGTAGAGAGTGAGTGAGAGCATTCAAAGAAGGATTTTTACCACTGGAGCGTGAAGGCTTTACTTGGTGTTCAAAGGTAAGATTTCCTACTTGTGATTTGAGATTACTTCACTCTTTTCTTTCTTATTTCTAGATTTTTTGTGAGGAGATATGTCAAGGAGATCGGGTTCTTTGCCCACACTAGGAGAGTATAAAAGGATGAGGGGTTCGGAGAGTGTGAAAGGATGGACGGATCTCTGCCAACGCTAGGGATAGTGTAAAAGGATGACGATTCTATGCCGCACCGGGTAGTGGTGGAAAGAGTGTTTGTAAAGGCTTCTCCACCTTGTTGTGGGTGCAAATGGAGAGACTATTGGTATTAGTGTAATACTCAGAGGGTGCCTCTGGGGAGTGGACGTAGGTCTGGTTTAGACCGAACCACTATAAATCTTATGTCGTTTATTTTTATTTTTTTATTTTCCGTATTTTACTGTTTAAAAAGTTGTAGTTAAAAAACTTTTTTATAAAAATTCACTGAAGTTATTTTTGACTCAACTCATCCAAAAGAGGGATAATTTTTAACTACCAATTCACCCCCCTCTTGATAGTCGTGGGACATTAACTTAGGTTTAACAACCTATTCACTAGACTCAATAAGTGGTATCAGGGCTTTGTTTTAAAATTATAAGTTTAAACTACTTTTTGATTAACGTAGATGGCTACATTTGGAAATCGAAACACACCTGAGGGTTACTCTATTACTAGACCTCCACTGTTTGACAATTTACCTTTTGTTTTTTGGAAAACACGCATGTCTACTTTCTTACAATCATTTGATTATCATATGTGGATCTTAGTCCAGGAAGGATATACAAAACTAACTAGATTAGTTGATGGAGTTAGAGTTGAAACACCTTTTGCGGACTAGACTGTAGAAGAATGTGACTTAGCACCAAACGCTAAATGTTTGAATAGTTTCTTTTGTGCTTTAAAATCTGAAGACTACATGCGGGTTTCCACTTGTAAAAGTGGAAAGGACATATGGGGTAGAATTTGTATAACATATGAGGGGACTAATGAGGTTAAAAAAATCTAGACTTAATATCTTATTGCATGATTATGAACTATTTTGTATGAAACCTAATGAATCCATTTCTGATATGTACACAAGATTTACTCAAATAGTCACCTCTTTGCATGTACTTGGTAGAGAACTAACGAATGCTGAAATGGTTAATAAGATTTTTCATTGTTTACCTACTACTTATGATGCTAAAATTACTGCAATTACAGAGTCTAAAGATCTAAACATTTATTCAATTGACAATCTTCTTGGTTCACTTATTGCTTACGAGCAAGGAGCTAGCTAAAGAAAGATTGATGCAGGTGAACCACGAAAGGAAAATAACTTAGCACTAAAAGTGGAAGAGTCTGAGAGTGAACACTCACAACCTGAGGATGATGACGACATTGCATTAATGACTAGAAAGTTTAGAAGCTTTCTGAAAAGGAAACAAAAGAGACGCCAGCAATAGAATAGAGATAAATTTAATAGAAATGGCAAGGTTTCTAATGAAGTAATTTGCTATGAATGCAGAAAACTTGGTCATATTAAAACTGATTGCCCAAAACGCAAAGCCACTCATAGCAAGGAGAAGGTAGAGGAGAAACCAATTATAAAGAAGGGCAAGAAAAAGTTTCAAAGAGCTTTCTGGGCGGACTCAGCTTCAGATTCATTAGAGACTGAAAAATAAGAAGAAGTCACCAATCTTTGCTTGATGGCAGACAGTCTTGATCAGTCTGATCAAGAAGAGGTAAGTTACTTAACTTATGATGAATTATTTGAAGTTTCTGAACACATGTATGATGCATACAAGAAAATGAAGAAAATGCATGCTAGTCTAAGTTTAAAATTTGAAGAACTTCAAAAAGAACATGAAATCCTTAGGAAAGATCATGCCTTAATAGATGACAACCACATGAAACTACTCGATGAATTTGGTGACTTGAATAAATATCATGAGAATTTAAAATCATCATATGCTGATCTTGAAAAAGAATTTAAAAAATTTAAGGATGAATCAGAGAGAAAAACATATCGAATCAATTATTCAAATCGAATCTTGGAAGATATGAATTCATTTTATAAGTTGAAAATAAAAGCTCTCGAGGATAATAGGATACCCCCCAAACTTGAAGATTTTACAAATCATAAATTTTATCCTAAATATATGGAATCCCTTAGAAGACAAACAAATGGTAAAAGACTTAGGAATCCTTTTCCTAATGTTAAATGTAATAATTATGGATTACTTGGATATATAGCTCACACCTGTACCTTGAAGATGAAAACTAATTTGGTGTGGAGACCTAAGATGCATAAACCTAGACATATCATACATGCATCTGATTATAAATTGCCAAAAGGAGAACCCAAACTTGTTTGGGTTTCCAGGTCTAACATTTGATATTTTTACAGGGTCGCTCTCACACAAGACCTCGTGAGAGCATATGGTACCTGGATAGCGGATGTTCAAAGCATATGACTGGAGATACTGCTCAATTCATTTTTCTGGAAGCAAGGAGTGGAGGCAAGGTTACACTTGGAGATAATACCACAAAGAAGGTGGTTGGATCAGGTATGATTGGAAATCTTAAAAAAAATTTTATAGACAATGTGTTATTGGTTGAAGGCTTAAAGAATAATTTATTAAGTATAAGTCAGCTATGTGATAAGGGTTATAGTGTATAAATTTTTCCTACTAGCTGCATATTAAGCCTAAATGATAAAGATGTTTTAAATGGTAAAAGGATAAACAATATTTATATACTAGATTTAAATTGCATTCAGACTCCTACTACTTTTTATTTGAAAACTATTTCTAATGAGTCATGGCTTTAGCATAGGAGACTTTGTCATTCTAGCATGAAAAATCTTTGGAGGATTACCCAAAAGAATTTAGTAAGAGGTATACCAAAACTGGACTTTACTAAGGATAACCTTTGTGATGCATGTCAATTAGGAAAGTAGGTGAAGTCATCTTTTTAGTCCAATAAGGATCTTAGGACTAGTAAACCATTGGAACTTTTACACATGGATCTTTTTGGACCAGTTGGAACTGTGAGTCTAGGAGGGAAAGTATACGGATTTGTTATTGTGGATAATTACTCAAGATTCACTTGGGTTAGATTTCTATTTCATAAGAGTGAATCATTTGAGGAATTTAGAAATTTTTCGACTTGGATTTAAAGAAAATTAGGGTGTAAAATTATTTATATATAAAGTGATCATGGAGGAGAATTTGGGAATGAGAGATTTGAAGATTTTTATAAGGAGAAAGGAATTGATCACAATATTTCTGTACTTAGAACCCCTCAGCAGAACAATAATAGAAGCCTCCTGAGCAATGTCGGCTAGCAGTCAAGTAAAGCAAAGATCCAATAATCCCTCTATATTTCTTTTGATCAACAGATTTTCCCTTAAGGTCCTTATCCAACTGAACTGCGGATCTCATGGGTGTACTAACAGGTTTAGCATTGTCCATTTCATATTTCTTGAGGATGTCCTTAATATAATTAGTTTGGTTAAGAAATGTTCCTTCCTCAATTTGCTTAATGCTAAAACCTAGAAAGGAATTTAAATCTCCCATTAAACTAATTTCAAATTCACTACTCATTGTTTTAGAAAAATCATCACAAAGATTTTTATTTGAAGATCCAAAGATGATATCATCCACATAAATTTGAACAATAAGTATTTCCTTTCCAAATTTCTTTAAAAAAAAAGTTGTATCCACACTTTCTTTTTCAAAAGATCTTTCAAGTAGGAAAGTGCTCAATCTCTCATACCAAGCCCTAGGTGCCTATTTCAATCCATATAATACCTTAATTGATAAAAAATGTGGCAAGTTTGGACATTTCGGAGTTGAGTGACTGCTGATTTGAGGGTGGTGGTCGAGCGGCCTAGGGACGGTGGGGGATTAGTGGCGGTCGATCTCTTAACGCTATAAGTCCAATGGGCCAGTTGGGTGGCTGAGATCCAACAGAACGGGAATCTATGCCTGTATACGGTAAGATTGAAGTCCGAAGGCAGTCCGGACTCCGCACCAATAATTTCTCCATAAACCCTAACGGTCTTACCCTAGTGCTTTGGGAAGTTCGCACAGCAGCACCATTGCGACACCAGCCAAATCATCTCTCGACGGCGAATTGACGCCCCATTCAAGGCTGCTTATTTCTTTTCCGATTTCAAGATTGCAGCTTTCACACGCACCTGTGGAAGAAAATGAGATTTACAAGCTTACGATGGGCTCCAGATCTTCTCCGCAGACTTCAGCGATTCGAATCCTGTTCCGCTTCGACTTCAGCGTCTCCTGTTCTATGGGTTCTGCCATTGCAATCGAGAGGATTCAGCTTCCTTGTCCCTCCAAGTCGTCAATACTCTAGTGGTATGCTATTGTTTTATATGTTTTCTCTTTGGGCGGACAATAAGAGGATTATTATTATTATTATTTTCTGAATGAATGTCAAACATTGGATTAAGAATTATCTTCATCAGTTTTATCCAGTTTTGATTCCAATGTCACATATTTTTCTTTCATTTTGTAAAAAGAGTTAATTTGTATTGTTACTAATTCTTTTTTTTGGATTGAGTGTCAGATGTGTTTAACTAAGAAGAAAGAACTATCATTGAATGCTACATGAGAACTGAATTCTTGTTTTGGTTGCTATTTCACCAATAACATCATATATTTTACCGTACAAAATCTTTTAAAGGGTATTATTGCGCTTTTGGGTCACTTGGAGAGGTATACTAAATAGCTGAACAATCACCTTCATTTCTAGGAACTTTTTCAATAAGCCGAAGGAGGTTGTATTTCCTTTTTTTGTCTCAAGCAAAGGATATTGCATTTTCTGTTGTATCTCCAACCCTTTGATCCTTGTCTAGTTTCTTCTTTCACAATTATTGAAGACCTTACTTGCAGGGTGGAAAGAATGAAGTAGGAATTGGATCCCCAAAGTGAGTGGATGCATGCTTTGGAAAAGTGATTGGAGATCTAGTAATCCTGTTCTAAGATGCTGATAAAGAGCTCTGTTTAGCTAACACTAAGTTGAATGAGTTTAAGTGTTACTCTGATAAGTACAAGATGTGCTTGAATCACATAGAGTGAAAACTTTGGCTGAATGAATTATAGCAACTTGATACACTGTGGCACATCTCGACTATCTCTCTCCCAATATGCTTACGAAATCTATCATTTTCACTTTGTGCTCTAATAGGCTTGAAAAGACTAGGTGGTTAGTGGCCAGGTACAATATGTTTGTCGATCCCAAAGTGATAAATTATGCATCTGCAAACATTGATATTTTGGGAAAAGATCTTCTAAACTTCTATATGATAATGAAGAACCTAATAGGCACCATGAGTTAAGAGATCAAGGGAGATATTGGGTTGGAGATTCAGGAGGCTTGAATCTTGAGTTTATCATAAATTTGGGCCTCCCAAGGATATGTAATTTTCTTTGAAGTATTTGTAATACTCTTCTCTATTGTAATTTTATTTTTTAAATCTCATTTAATTTGTATTTTCTCATACACTTATGTTTGCAAATAATTATGAGATTGTATTTCTGCTTGTATATTTTTCAAGAGACGGTGTTCATTTACCTAATTTGGGTTAATAAGATGATTTCCTGCAACTTTTGAGTTGTAGGAAATAGAGATGTAGCATGCAACTTGGAAGTTGCAAACTAGGAATGAATAATTGGATTTTCTCTTCAATGAGGATATTCATCAACCTAAGTTGGATTAGGTAGATGTAAGAGTGTGACATGTAAGTGTGGATTACAAATCACATGAAATTTCTTTGAAACTTGAGATATTCATTCACCCAGTTTAGATTGGAAGAATGAAGTTCCTACAACATTTGAGTTGTAAAGTAGAGAAGCAAAGTGCAACTTGTAGGTTGCAAATTGAAGAGTGGTCTTTGAATTTTTGATATTCAAAGAAGAGAATCCATTCATCCAATTCAGGTTGGAGAGATGAGAGGGGGAGAAGAACAACTCAGAAATTGCAAATTCATGAATATTCTTTAAAATTTGGTGTTTAAAGAAATCTATTCATTTGCCCAATTCGGGGTTTGGTAAATGAAGGAGAATTTGGAGGTTTTCCAGCAATCTTGGCTTGTAGGAAAATAAAGAAGGGAAATGCAACTTAAAGGTTGTGAGTTGGGGGAAGTTCTTTGAACTTTTGGTGCTCAAAGAGGGGAATTCACCCTTTCAACTTGAGTTGGAAAGATTAAGTGGAGACACGATTTTGATTTATATGCTTGGGATGAAATTACTTATTGATTTTGGATCAATAAATAAATTGATTTGGTGTATATTTGTTTCACTCAACATGGGTTGAATGAATGCAAGAATTTCTACAACTTTTGAGTTGTAGAAAGAGATATTTCTCTACAATTTTGGTTTGTAGAAAAAAAAGGAGAAATGCAACTTATGAGTTGCAAATTCATGTATATTTTTTTAATATTGGTGTTTAAAGAGGTGTACACTCTTCTAATTTGGGTAAGGAGAATGAGAGAATTTTCTGTAACCTTTGAGTTGTAGAAAGAGAGATGCAATATACAACTTTGAGGTTGCAAATTGAAGGATGGATCGTTGAATTTTGCCTTCAATGAAGCATTTCTATTTACCAAATTTGTGTTGGGTAAATAGGGGAAAACGATGCAGAACTTAGATATTGCAACTTGAAGGAAAATTCTTGAACATTTGGTGTTCAAAGAGAAGTAATCATCCACTTAATTTAGGCTAAGTGAATGGGGGAATAAAACTAGGATCATTCATTAGTTTTATGTTCCAACGAATAGGGTAGAAGAATTCAAAATTAGGTTCTAAGTTCAAAGAACTTCATGCCATAGAACATTTGGAATCTTGAGGAGATTCCAAAAGTCATTCATGGAAGAGAGATAGATGAATGTTTTTTGACTTTGTGTCTCCACAAACAAAGGAAAGATGAATTGGGATTTATTTCTATAGTCCAAAGATTCATGTGATGATGCATTTGAAGCTGTTGGATGCTTCAAAACGACATGCATGAGGAGGATATTTGTTGGTTTTGTATTCCAACAAATGATGTGGGAGAGCTTACAATTTGATTCTAAGTTTCAATGGTCCGTGCAATGATGTATTTGAAGCTTTGAGGAAGCTCCAAATGTCATGCATAAGAGAGAAATGATTTGTAGTTTTGAAACTACAAATCAGAAAGCAATCATCGCGTTTTGTACTCAATGATGCATGACCATACCTAGATTAGGTTAGGCAAATGTGATGGGCTAAGGTTGGAATCTTATGCCGGAGGATATTCATTTGTTGATCTTGTGTCTCAACGAATGATAGAGGAAGCTTAGAATTTTGCATTAAGCTCCAAAATCTTCTTGTAATGATATGTTTGGAACTTTGGAGGATTCCAAATCATCATAGATGAAAGGAGAGGATGGTTGGTGGTAGCTCCTAAGGGAGGCTAAGAGCTATGCAATGCATCATTTGAAGCCTTGAGAAGGTTCCAAATATCATGCATGAAAGGGGTGTAGAGGTGAATGTTTGTTGATTTTGTGTCTCAACAAACGAAAAGGGGGAATGAACTTAGGATTTGGTCCTAAGGTTATATGATTCATGCAATGAAGCATTTGGAGAATTGGGATACTCCAAACCATCATGCATGAGAAGGAAGGGGATCTATTAGAGATCCCTTAATAGATGTTAGGGTTCATGCAATGAAGTGTTTGGGAGCATTGGGATGCTCCAAATATCATGCAGGAAGGAGTATTATTCATTTGTTGATTTCATGTTTCAAGAGATGAAAGAGGAAACTTAGGATTTGGTCTTAAAGTCTGATGACTCATGTAATGAAGTGTTTGGAGCCTTGATAAAGCTCCAAAATATCACACATGAGGGAAAAGAGCATTCGAAGGAGGGCTCTCAATATGCTAGAACCCATGCAACCTAACACTTGGAGCCTTGAGAAGGCTCCAAGTACCATGCATGAGGGAAATGGAGTTTATTGTTTGTTGATCTTGTGTTTCAAGTTTCAACAAACAGGAGGAAATGGACCTAAGGTTTTGATCCTAAGATTTGTTAATGCTCTTTTAGGCTCTTTAGAGGTTATTTGAGAAACCTTTATGTGAGCCTAGAAGGCAACAAGCAAGGGGACCGCTAGTTGGTTTTATGCTCCAACAAATGAAATGAAGAAACTTAGAATTTGGCTCTAAGTTTGGGAGCTTATAATATGATGTGTTGAGCATTTTAGGAAAATCCACAACACCACACACAAAGAAGGATCGATGATGACCTTAAGAGATGTTAGGCTTCATGCGATAAAACACTTGAAGCATTTTTGTTCTCCAAACATCATGCATGAAGGAGATACGTACTTGAAGGAAAACTCCTTATTTTGGTTTGAGTGTTTTGGACTCATTTGGAGAGAGGAGATTGTTTTCCTATGACTTCTAAGAAGTTTTAAAATCAAATTTGATATGATTTAAAACAACCTAGAAGTGTGTGAGCATGATTTGCATTTTAGGGGTTTGATCACCTCACTTCAATGTTCAATCTTTTAATTTGGGAGATGGTTAAATAATCCCAAAACATGAGGTCTCATGGGCCTTTGAGGGTCCATACAACATCTCAATTTTGCCTCAAAATTAAATGACCCTATTTGATTGTTCTCCCAATTTTCAAAAGTTGAAGATGCTTCAAGCAAGTGATGATTGTCGTTTAAATTCTCTGAATTTGATGAAGATGATGATCATGAATTCATTTGATCATATGTATTGTGAAATTTACAACATAGACCCTTGAGGGTCTATAGTGAATCTCACATTGATTTAGTTATATATATGATGATCATGAAACAAGAGTCGTGCATCGTCAATTGGTTAGGTCAGCTAGGATGTATGCTCGATTCCTCTTGCCCTCCTCACTCGGATGGATCGATTGATTGCAAGAAGGCGCACGAAGGGAAGAAAGAGACCCTCCACTCATCTCTCCTATCTGTCTTGCTGGATTGGACGATGCAAGCAGGCCGAACGGGAGTCTCCACTTCACCTCCTTTAGCTGGGTACATAAACCGCATGCAGTGGGTTGTCCAACCCTCTGCCTTCGCTCGATCCACTATGGTAGGCACGCACGAAGGCTCTTCTGCCTTTGCCTCTTCTTTCGAATGTGGGAGGCATGCAAGTAGGACTGAACAGTCCCCTTTATCGCTCTCTCATGCTCGGTCTGGATGCACACAACAGGTAAGGTCGAATGAAATCCCTCTCTTCATCTCCTGCTCTCTCTATATGCGAAATCGAGGGATACAGGCTGCCCGAGATGATCTTCTGCCGCAAGATAAGATCCTGTCGCGATGTCCCTGCTACAACAACGAGAAAAGAGGGAGAAAAACTTGTATCAGGCGCTAATTTAATTCCAACCGTAGGATGCGATTTTCCAAATTTTGTAAGTTAAATGAACTTGGATTTGACTAATTGGGCTGAAATTGGGTCCGAATTAGACTTAATTCGAATTGATTTTGGTCGATTTGGGTCCGACTGGGTTCGATTGAGCCAATTTTGGGAAATTAGGCTCGATCGGCGTCGAATTTGGTTCAGCGAGGCTCGATTGGATCTATTTTGACCGATTTTATTTTAATT